TATAAAAAGAAAATGTCCCAAACTACTGTATATTCGACATATAAAGAACAATATATTCTTTTACGCTCAAATCTTCAAGGTATTTTAAGGTCCAAAGGCTTGATTATAGATCAAATATTATGTTGAAATAGCATACTACGAGTTTTTTTCAAATAAATCATCAAACATTTAANGTAGTTGTTATGACCCAGCAGTATGTGGGTCATATGACGGAGAGGAGGCGTGGCTGGATAGCTCAGTTGGTAGAGCAGTCGTCCGGTACGCGATAGGTCCGAGGTTCGATTCCTCGTTCAGTCATTTCTTTTGCTCCGTTCTGTTGTCATACTATCTCGCTGGGCAGATGTCGGGTGTGAGAGTTTTCCATCCCTCACACGAACTTCAATGTTATGATTAAATGCAAAAGAGATAAAGCTAATAATAACAAAAAGAAAAATAACAAGCGTCATAATTTATTTTCTCTCTTCCAGTAGATTACATATTATATAGAAAGAACAGCAAAAAGGAAAAAAAACAAGTCAACACTGATCGTGGCAATGCATTCCTATATAGTGTAAGCAGAAAAACAACGGAAATGATAGGATTTAACCTATGAAAGAGAATAAACAATAAACCATTTTCAACATCATCAAAGAATATTTATATTTGACATAATGAAAAGAAAAAAAAGCATAACTAGAGAATTTCAATAAATTCGTGCAAAAATTCAAAATAATTTATTCTTTGTAAATGTTTTCTTTTTTGTATGATAATGATGCTTACTTCATTACCGAGATATTTCCATTCTTTTATCAATCTAATGTGATGATTGTATGTACCATTCAAAAAATAAGAAAAAGACACAGGAAATAAATATTTGGAATAGTGAAAAATCATTTCTATCAGTATGATAATAGCTGATCATATAAATCTTATTTTCAATTTAACATATATAGATAATCGACATATTATTTTTAAATAAATTCACAATTTATTAAAATATAATAAACGAGATGATAATTATTGATTTTTAGTAAGATACATATCAATATTGTTTCATTCATATCATGTTACTTATTCGTTAATTAAAAAACAATAAACAGTTAATTATAAGAAAAGATATCATCGGATTAAATTGTAAATCTGCCATTCTCTTCGCTTTTTATTTCAATTGGTTAGAACGATGAAGCATAAAGGTCTGCATGCTGTTTTCTATTTATTTAGTTTTTATTTAAACTGAACGTCTAAAATAAATATCAAGATCTTAATCGTATTGAGGTCAATATAATATTAAAATATATTCGATAATAACAAGAAGAGCTATTATTTTTTTCTTTCTTTTTGTTTTCTAAATTAAATACAAAAATAGTATAGATCAATGCAGTTTTTCATACTTTACAAATGGACATAGAGATTAGATTTACTATTAGCTTCTCTTTTATATTATGTAGAATCATAAAAATATAATAGATACTATTCTATTCTCATATAACATAGGTGAATTTTCATACGTTTTATGAATATCTAAAGAAAGTTAGCAGCCGATTCGAGTTTTTTTTTTTCGAAAAGTGATTCGTCCCATTCACTGAACCACCTAACGAATATAGTGAGTTAGATGAGGCTCGAAGAGCCCTATCGAAAACTGTATTCACATTATTTTATGAAAGCCAATCGACATAAATCAAAGCAAAAATATTGATTATCCTCTATTAAAAAAAACCAAAAAAGTTTTTTTCAGATGATTTGCTCCACGACCTTAGTCATTAATGAAACTTAGCTCATTTGATTTGGTTCAACGAACCATATATATATATATATATAATGGTAAATGTTTCATCCAATTGAAAACAACACAACTTTGATCAGGATATCTGAAATACCCAAAAGCTGCTTTTAAGCAGGCATTTCCTCGAACAATTTGTTCGACTATCTCAGTTATTTGTCCAGTTGCATCCAATCAACGAAATTTGATTAGTGAGTCAGGCTGTGGAACAAATTTTTAGAGAAAAAGATTTCTTTTTTTTTCTCCATAGACGAAAATCAACGCTTTTGCTTTCATTTGTGTCAGTTGGATTTCATAAAACATGTGAATTTAGTTTTTGATAGAGTTCATCGAGCTGCATCTGGCTCACTAGGTCTTTTAGTTGATTCATTGAATGAACTGAACCGAACCGTTTTTGAAAAAAAATTCCAATCAAAAGATTTTTCTCAACACTATGTAGAATAATAGAGTATGAAGCGGCATAGTTTTTTTATCATAAGAATTATTAATGTTAATTTGCTATTTAAATACAACAAAATTCTACAAAGTGTATGAAAATTAGTGTACATAATATATGAGAATTATATCTATTGCTTTTTTTAATGATACTATATAATATGGGAGAAAAGTTAATAGTGGATATGATCATTATGTCTATTTATAGAACATGATAAACTAGGTTGATCGACACAATAAGTTTTCATATTCAATTTGAACAAGAAAATATAATCACTCTTATGTTTATTATCGAAAAACTGCAAAACTGGTGGAGAACTTAAGACTAACTAGATCTTGAAAACTTCTTTTAGATATTCAATGAAACAAAAAATAAATAAACAAATATAAGCAGAATTTCATGCTCTATCTTTCTAATCTATTGGTAATAAAACATAAGAGAGGTGGTAGATTTACGACCTTATACGACGATATCTTTTGTCTGCAAGAGACTAAACTATATGATGTCTTCGGAGAATATCCCCGGAAACTCAATTATGTCCTAGGGTAAGAGGTATAGGAGATATAGGAGGTATAGGAGATATAAGAGATATAGGAGATATAAGAGATATTAATTAACTAGTGCAAATAATCCTTATACAGCGCTTGACTTTGAATAGTGATTCAGTCAGATATATTCATTCAAGTTATCGATTCTTGCTCGAAAAAATCAATTATAAAAAAATAAATAAATGTTTACTGTGTTTCCTATACCTCTATAACGCCTATATCTCCTATATCTCCTATATCTCCTATACCTATCTATCTGTATACATCTTACCCTAGGACATAATCGAGTTTCCGGGGATATTCTCCGAAGACGTAATCCTGCTTCTTCTTGTCCTATACGTTCCTACGCGCTAAACTTTGTGGAAAACGTTATTATAGGTCTAATATATCCACACATATTTAAACGATTCTTTCGAGTCGACATAATTTTCTTGATGTATCAATCTCTAATCGTAATTCAATTCAACAAAATCAGTTAAATGAATAAATATTTGTAAATAGATAGATGAATAAAAGTGATGTTAATCATATGTACTGATTATTTTGAAATAGCATACTTGATTTATTTGAGCCTGTAAAAATCAGGAATTTCTAAAATATCTCTGAGTAAATAAAGACAAATAGAAGTATTTCATTACTATTGTTATCGTAAGTAAAATTAATATTATAAAACAGAAATAAAACATCTTATTCTTCTCGTATATCTTGAAGAATATTGACATGTTTTTTGACAAAAGAGAACTTGTCATATGTTTGCTACAATAAATGTTGTAATATATATGTCAATAGAGTTACTTGATATAATAGATGATGTTTTTTTTGATAAACAAACTCTCTTTATACATTAATTCATATTTATTACAATAATAGAAGGCTTGCGTTTTATCTAAGGCAAAAACAATATTCATGATACGATTCATCGATAGTATTTGTAAAAGTTCGACTATAATATAGATTTGAAGTTATTTCAGATCGAAGTCCATCTGTCGAATTGAATGATGTAATGAATTTAATTTTACTTTTTCTGATTATTCGACAACATGTGAAATATGTTTTTAAATCCTTTTTTTTTAATATAACGATGCAAATCTGTTTTTCACTAAAGTTAGATCAAATCTGAACACACTTTTAAATGATTGTTTATGATGGCAAAAGAAGCTAAAGAATTTAACGGAAAGTAAGTATAAATTAATTATTTTATTTATTTATTTATTTTCGATAAGAATATATCATGAGTTGAAACAACGATAAATTACTTTTTATTTTCATTTTAATTTTTGAATTCAGATTATATAACGATATGTAGTCAATCAAAAGTGCCTATTTATTATTGATTTTTATTTTTTCTTTATGTTAAATTTATTTTTGAACAATGAAATATAATCATAGAACTAAAGCTAAATAGATTTAAACTTTGTATTTTCAGCTAATGGTAGAAGTGGAAGACAATGAATGTTATCATATCCCAAACTCATCGATCGACATTCTAAAACATTGATATATTGGTAATAGTGAGGATTTAGTGTAAATTTGGTGTAACAAGATGAATATTCAAAATAATGGATACACGATCTTTAAAAAGCTTTCTTAGTAATCTTTTAGTGATTCTTATTTGAATAATCAGTAACAACAATCATATTTATAATATTAGTTAATAGTTATTGAATATTATATTCAAATAAATATTAAAATGTTTTCGAAGGATGACGAATAGTTGAAATAAAAACTATAAGACGATCAACTAGATGGAAGTGTTCATTAAGATAACCAATTGTATAAGTAATGTACATCAATAAACCCCATAGTTGAGCATAAAATGAACCATCACAGCCAACTATTATTGCATAGACACTGAAACTAAGACCAACAATTAATTGCCAAGCACCTAACACAAGTAGAATTGGATATGGGTGATTCCATGATGACCCTACCACGTTTACATTGACCACCTCCAAATCCGTTCAAACTTTCAGGGTTTGTAGAGATTTGAACGCTGATCATTTTGATAATAAAATAGTTGGCACTTCATAATGAAATGAGGGAGAACGAGTCAAAATACTGAACACGTCATTTTGATTCGAAAAAATTCACCTTTCGATGAATTTGGCCATTTCTCGTTTTCATGTTATCATTTTNTTTACCAGCTTGTTACTAACTGTCTATGATCGAAAATTCTACTACTAAAAATTAAATTAAATAATTAAAATTTTATTATTACTGCATTTTCTACTTATATAACAAAAAATTTGGCTCTCTCTCAAGTTATACATATAACATTATAATAAGTACTGTAGATAAATAAACCATATAATTGAGCATAAAATGAACCATCACAGTGAAATATTATTGCATAGAGACTGAAACCGAAACCAGCAATTATTTGCCAAGCAGCTAATACAAGAAGAATCGGATATAAATTCCAAATACCAGCAAAATGTGGATACATAAATGTATGAAGAAGTGTATTGGAAACAATTGTTGGCCATTCATATGATATATAACCAATTAAACCAGCTAATACAACTGATGGTGTTGTTTGATGATGCCAACGAAAATGCATAAGTACTGGAGTTTTATTTAAAATAACCAAGTAAACATCGAGAAATTCCCATAATTTACTCAAATAGAATATATACCATAGAAGCATATAGGAGCCTCTTGGGGTTGATCTATGACATACTAATCGATTCCAAGAAACAAATCGATCATCTCTATATGCAATTATATTAGCTGATAGAAATGATATAGCTGAATATATACCAATAATTATATTATTATAACGTTGAATACGACGTACATTTATTGGTTTAGCACGTTTAGCCATATATATTTCTAAAGCATATGTAATAATGAAATGAACGAACGAAATAAATAGAAGAAATTTCAAAGAAGTCAATGGTGTTTGACCAGGTATAAACACAAAATTATCTGGATGCCACATTATTCTATTTAATAAATGAAAATAAAAAATAGAGAAAATATTTTAATTTATTCAAAAGTTAAGATGATTTATTTGAATAGTACTGGGATAAAAACCAATATTAGACACAGTGATCTGTTGATGTTTTATTTTCCTATGCATTTTTATAGATAAAGAGAGAGTCTAGTTTAATGCTTACCAATTATTGAAATAGAACGTTTGTATTTTATTTGACTTGTTTTTCTCACATCTAAATATGACAATAGTCACTGTTTTATTCTCATTTTTTTTCTTTTCTTATTTATATCGGTTAAAGCGCATGTTGTAATACTTGATAAGAATCTATATGTTATTACATCATAAACATATCGTCATGTTATGAAGTCAGAGCAATTGAGTTACTTTTTCATTGCGATTCAATTCATTAAAATGAATGACTCTTTAATTATCATAGGTTTTTTGACCTTTGTGAGTACAGTGTCAGAAGATAAGTGATTTTTTTGCGTTGAATTCTGTAATAGTTGCTGACAAAATTCGTCGTCTTATGTTAACAAAAACACAAGAGATTTTTTTTCTAGATCTCAACTGACTTTCAACTAAATATTTACTTCACAAGTGATGAAGAAATTTGTTAAGAAAAACTTTGTTCGTTTCAAATAAAATAAAATAACTTGGCAAATAATAGCACGTCTTCTTTCTTGATTTTCAATTGCCGAAAAGCTTGGCAGTGTTCATGATGTTATATTTGCTTGACTATAATCACGACGATGATCAAGACCTTTTGTACGTCTTTGGAAATTTTTGCTATTTGATAAATCTTGATTATTTATTACTGTTGATGATGAGAATAATGTTAAATCATTAATCGATTGATTTGATGTATTATATGAACTTGTTAATGGTTGACTATTTGAAGCTAAATAACAAGGGAAGAATTTTTCTTAAAAGAGATTTTTATTTAAAAAAAGAAAAGATATTTTTTTCAAATTGAAAATATTCTCTTTTAGATTATTATATATATTATGCATGATTAGATGAACGAAATATTTTATTACATTAACTTTATTATTACGTCTTAGCTTTGTTTATATACCAGATGGGTGTGGGTGTGGGTGTGGGTGTGGGTGTGGGTGTGGGTGTGGGTGGGGGTGGGGGTGGGGGTGGGGGGGTGGGCGTGGGCGTGGGTGTGGGTGTGGGTGTGGATGTGGGTGTTGGGGGGTGTGGGTGTGAGTGTGGGTATGAGTGTGGGTGTAGGTGTGGATGTGGA